TGAAAGCTTTCCTGTCTTTTTTCTTGTTTTCTTTTTTTTGGGAGGGGGGATAGTCTGAGACGTATAGGTATTAATTCTTCTTTAAATGTTTGGTAGAATTTACCTATGTACCTGTCTGGTCGTGGACTTTTGTTTGTCGGGAGTTTTTTGATTCCTGATTTAATTTCATTGCTGTTAATTGGTCTGTTCAAATTTTCTGTTTCTTCCTGCTTCAGTTTTGGCAGGCTATATGTTTCTAGGAATTTATCCATTTCTTCTAGGATGTCCAATTTGCTGGCATATAAGTCATAATATTCTCTTATACTCTTTTGTATTTCTGTGGCATTGGTTGTTATTTCTCCCTTTCATTTCTGATTTTGTTTGAGTCCTCTTTTTCTTTTGACCAGCCTGGCTAAAGGTTTATCTATTTTGTTGATCTTTTCAAAGAAACCCTCTTGGTTTCATTAATCTGTTCTATTGGTTTTTTTAGTTTCTATTTCATTTATTTCTGCTGTAATCTTTATCATTTCTTTCACTCTTTCTACTGGCTTTTGGTTTATATATTCTTTTTCTAGTTCCTCAAGGTGTATGGTTAGGTTCTTTGAGATTTTTCTTGCTTCTTGTGATAGGCCTGTGTTTCTTTAAACTTTCCTTTTAGCATAGGTTTTGCCATATCCCAATGATTTTGGCACTGTTGCTTTTTCATTTTCTTTTGTCTCTATGTATATTTTGATTTCCTTTTTGATTTTTTGGTTGGCCCATTCATTGTTTAGTAGCATGTTATTTAGCCTCTATGTATTTGCTTTCTTTCAGCATTTTTTCTTGTGGTTGATTTCTAGTTTCTGAGCATTGTGGTCAGAAATGATGCATGATATGACTTCAGTCTTTTTGAATTTGTTTCAATTTGTTTTGTGGTCTAACACGTCATCTATTCCAGAGAATGTTCTACATGCCCTTGAAAAGAATGTGTATGGGGCACCTGGGTGGCTCAGTTGTTCAAGCGTCAGACTTCAGCTCAGGTCATGATCTCGTGGTTCATGAGTTCTAGCCCTGCATCGGGTTCTGTGCTGACAGCTCAGAGCCTGGGCCTGCTTCAGATTCTGTCTCCCTCTCTCTCTGCCTCTCCCCCACTCGTACTCTGTCTCTGTCAAAAATAAATAAAAACATTTAAAAAATTAAAAAAAAAAAGAAAATGTGTATTTTGCTATTTTAAGATGGAATGTTATGAATATATCTGTTAGATCCATCTGGTCTAATGTGTCATTCAAAAACACTGTTTCCTTGTTGATTTTTGTTTAGGTGATCTGTCTGTTGATGTAAGTGGGGTGTTAAAGTTCCATACTATTATTGTATCACTATAGGTTACTTCCTTTATGTTATTAGCTGTTTTATGTGTGTGTGTGCTTTCATGTTGAATGCATAAATATTTACATTTATTATATCTTCTTTTTGGATTGTTCCCTTTATGGTTGTGTAGTATCCTTTATCTGTTGTTACAGTCTTTGTTTTAGAGTCTATTTTGTCTATTATAAATATTGCTACTCTAGCTTTCTTTTCAAGACTGTATGAATTTCACTGCCCTGTGTTTGAATTTACTGATCCTTTCTTCCACCTCATTAGTCTGCTGTTGAACTCTTGTGTTGTATTTTTTAATTCAGTGATTGTATTTTCATTTCTGATTTCTGTGTGGTACTTTCTAATTTGTCTCTTTGTTGAAATACTCACTCTGTTCATGCATCATTTCCTGATCTTATTGAGCATCTTTAAGACCATTGTTTTGTAGAAATAAAGTTTTTTTTTTAACATTTATTTTTTTTTGAGGGACAGAGCATGAATGGGGGAGGAGCAGAGCGAGAGGGAGACAGAGAATCAGAAGCAGGCTCCAGGCTCTGAGCTGTCAGCACAGAGCCCGATGTGGGGCTCGAACTCATGAACCGCGAGATTATGACCTGAGCTGAAGTCGGGCACTTAATTGACTGAGCCACCCAGGCATCCCTGGAAGCAATTTTTTTTTTTTTTTTTTAAGTTTTAGACTTACAGAAAAATTCCAAGAGTACAGAATTTCCATACATCTTTCTCCTAGACTGCGTAATACTAATATATTGCATTATCATAGTATAGTGATCAAAAATGGACATTAACATTGGCCTAATACTATCAATTAAAGTACAGGCTTTATTTTGATTTCACCAGGTTTTCTCCACTAATGTCTCAAAGATCAAATTCCTGCATTGTATTTAGTTCTAAATTTCCTTAGTCTCCTCCAATCTTTTGAGTTTTTCAGTCTTTCCTTGCCACTCATGACCTTGAAAAGTCATGGTTTCCTGGAGTATTGGGTAAGTTATTATATAGAAGGTTCTTCATTGTGTTTGTCTACAGTTTCCTCATGATTACATTATGGTTATGCTTTCTTTCTTTCTTTTTTTTTTTTAGTGGCAGTACTACTCATGTGGTGTGCCCTTCTTATTAGTGCCTCACTTTGGGTGGTATTTGTGCTGATGTCTTACTGCCGGTGATCATTTGGTTAAGGTAATATATGGAATGTTTTCTCCTTTTAATTATGTATTTGGGATTCGTTGGTATAATTTTAATGGCCTGTTTCTCTTTACATTTTCACCTTCAAATTTTAGTATCCATCAATGAATTTTGTATATGATTATTACTGTTATTACAGTGATTTCCTATTTCCCTGATTCATTTAATAATTCATTTAATAATTATTATTCATTAATATTGTTAATTATTCATTCATTTAATAATTAATTTAATAATTTAAAAAAGGATTCTATTATATTTCATGGTTCACTGGAGCAATAAACAAGATAGGTCTGGAACATTCTCTCTTATTAGGGGGGAAAACAAGTTTCTAAGTAGGCTAGGGAAGATGTGGAAAAGATAAAGGACAAAATGAATATGGAAAGGAATGAGCATCAAAACGAAGTAGCAAAAAAATAGTTAATAGCAATAATTACCTTATGGTTTATTGTACTAGCAGTCTGTGAAATAACAGGAGTTCATTACAAAGTTCAAAGAAAAACATTAATGGAATGTGACCAAAATATAGCTGTAATACAAATAAGGAAGGCATAATAAGGATATGTTAATTTATTAAATTTTCATTTTTAATGATTTTGAAAAGTAAATGCCAAGATACATGGTTATTTAAGTGTATACATAAGGATTAGATAGCTTATTGTTTTAATTGTTCAAGCTAGCAAAAAAAAAATAATAAAATAAAAATACGCAAAGGAGTATATTGGCAAGTAGTTCTGGAGTATTACACCAACAAGAGAGAAACTAATCAGTATTGATTGGAACTCAGAATAACCAAGTAAAATGAGATGAAAGAGCAAATCAGCAGTGTGGTCACATAATAGCTCAGTAAGTAGAACGGACTATTAATGATTATAATAGAGTTGAAATATTTTAAAGATACGAAATAGTACATATCCTAATAAGAATAACAACAGGGACTCCTTGTCTTATTTTATAGCATATGAAATATCTACCAAGTATATATTTTTTAAAACTGCTAATTTATTTTTTTCTATAAAGTTGAGATTTTTTAAAGTTTATTTATTTATTTTGAGAGGGAGAGCAGGGGAGCAGCAGAAAGGGAAAGACAGAAACCCAAGCAGGCTCTGCACTCTCAGCAAGGAGCCAGACGTGGGGCTTGAACCCATGAACCATGAGATCGTGACCTGAGCTGAGATCAAGAGTTGGACATGTAACCAACTAAGCCACCCAGGCACCCCTAAAACTGCTCATTTAAGTAAAACACTAATTAGAAATATTTAAAGAAAATAGCCCAATATATCTCATAAGAAAATGGCTTAATTACTATTGCTGGTCATGCAAAACTTTAAAGAGTCCAGAAATTCTGGGGAAGACCAATTTAAAAAATTAAAATCTAATGAATAATAGTGACAAAAATGTATCGAAACAATAGGTAAATTCTTATAAAAATCTAATAACCAGTGGCTCATAATGAACATTATTTGCATAACCCAGTCAACTGTTGTGATTAACAAAAGAGATGATGGACACTTAATCTCTGTCACTAATTTTCTTTCTTTCTTCTTTTACTTTTCCTTTCCTTGATAAAATCAAAGTTCTGTTGATTGTTAAGCTGCCAAAACCCAGCAAGGCAACACAGAAAAAGTACAAATACACAAACCCTGTTGGAGTCATGGTAGTAGTAGAGTTCTAAATCCTCTAAAGGTGAGTTTACCAAGTTTATAATCATTGCAATAGTTGTAGATTTTCCCCTCCTTTAATAAATCTGAGACAGATAAGATTGGCTTAGTAAATTTTATGAAATATTTAAAGTGCCCCTTCGGATCCTCATTGGTACTGTCTAGAGGTAAAAAGAAAGGCTTTTCTAAAGGAATTGTATTGTGGTAGGAATTTAGGCAAGTCTGTCATGTCAAAACAGAAATTTTAAAAGAAATCAATCATTTAATGACAATGGAAAGGAGATTACACATCTCCTACTAAAGTAAGAATAGAAAATGAAACATAAATTTACACAAATACCATGCACAGACACAAGACTTTAAAACCACATAGTATCTGACTGGAAGTTTTAACTCTCTGGAGGAAGAAAATTACACTATATTAACAAACAAAAAATTAGAATGCAAAAGATTTATTTGAAGAATATTACAAATTAATAAGCCAAAAACAATGAATAGACAAAAGAACAGAAACACAAACACCAAAAGTAATTGTAAACAAAACATGCCTGGAAAAGAAATTCATGTGAATTTAACTAGTTAAGAATTAATGAAACACATTTTCCACATATATCAGAAATGAATAGGGACCATCCTACCTAAATGGATATTCAGAAGGTTAACTGACAGGAGAAATATTTGGCAGTATCTAACAAAACAAAGTATATACACCACTGAGTGATTGTACTAGATAGAGTGGCCAGAAAGTCTGGAAGCAGTAAGAGCAACATAATCACCTTGATTACTTATTATAATGCATCAATTTTCCCAGTGAAACTCAGAAACCAAACTTTTGTACATGTCTTTCATTCAAAAGACTTCTTACCAGTATAATTTTTTTGATATCACGTAAGGTGCTTACCCACACTAAAGGCATTCCCGCATTCCTCACATTCATAGGGTTTCTTACCAGTATGAATTCTCTGATGTTTTGTAAAGGATGAACTATGTCTAAAGGCTTTCCCACATGCTTTGCATTCATAAGGTTTCTCTCCAGTGTGAATTCTCTGATGTTCAGTAAGGGCTGAACTATGTCTAAAAGCCTTCCCACATACCTTACATTCATAAGGTTTCTCACCACTGTGAATCCTCTGATGTTGAATAAGTGCTGACGTAAGTCTAAAGAACTTTCCACACTCTTTACATTCATAAGGTTTCTGACCACTGTGAATTCTCTGATGTCGAGTAAGTTCACTACCTACTCCAAAAGCTTTCCCACATTCCTTACATTTATAGGGTTTCTCACCAGTATGAATTCTCTGATGTCTAGTCAGGGATGAACTGTTTCTAAAGACTTTTCCACATGCCTTGCATTCATAGGGTTTCTTTCCAGTATGAATTCTCTGATGTCGAGCCAGTTCTCTACATACCCCAAACGTTTTTCCACATTCTTTACATGCATAAGGTTTCTCACCTGTATGAATTCGCTGATGTTCAATAAGCTGTGAACTAATTCTAAAGACCTTCTCACATTGTATACATTTGTACGGTTTCTCACCAGTATGAATTCTCTGATGTTCAGTTAGCTGTGAATGGAATCTAAAGTCCTTGCCACATTCCATACATTTGTAAGGTTTCTCATCAGTATGGATTTTCTGGTGTCGAGCAAGTTGTGCATGCACTCTAAAGGATTTCCCACAGAAAGTGCATTCATAGGCTTTCTCACCATCATGAATTATTTTTAGTGGAGTTATTTCTTCAACTCTTCTAATGGTCCTTTTAAATTCCTTACATTTATAGCACTTCTGATCATCATGCATTTTCTGGTGTATACTAAGGTCTTCATAAAAACTAAATGGATTCCTATATTCCATATATTTACAAGGTTTTACAGCAGTATGAATGTTCAGTTGTAGGGTATGTGGGTCATCTCCAAAGGTTTTCCAATATGCATTACACTGATATGTTTTCTCACCAGTATGTATTCTCTCACATTCATCAAAACTTGAGTCACAGCTATGGACCTTTTCATATTCCTTATATTCATAGGGTTTCTTGCTTTCATGAATTCTCTGATGTGATATAAGAGATTTATGATGTTTATAATTTGGCACTTTTTCAGAGCTGATTTTCATTTGGCTGAAATATCCCACTTCAGGTCTTTGTACTTCAGTCTTGCTTTTGCTTTGCCAGTCATTTCTGAAAATGGAGCTCTCCAAACCAATGAATTTACCTTCTGTTACTTTCCACTGAAAACCATTATTTTCAATAATGTCCTTTCCATTAAATAAATACTTTGTGTCATACTTGGACTCCAAATCTGAAAGAGAGGAGAAAAGAAATAATTTTTTTCATGTGGTATAAAAATGAAACATTTATACAATGCAGAGGAGAAAAATTGTAAATATAAACAATGCGAGTGAATGATTAAAGTATTGTAATGAAGTTTTAAGAAAGATCAGAGAATGATGAAAGCATAATATAAGATTGTGAGGTTTGTGGTAAGGGAAACAGATTAAGTCAGTGTCTGACATGTAGGTGTTGATCATCATCTAGTAAGCTTGTCAAGTACTAATGTTCAGAAACAAGTCCAGATAAACTGACCAATATCAATAGATGTAGAACTAGTTATCATATAGAGATAATGCTGATGTGGATCATGATTTGATCGTCTATACATACTAATAATTTTGTATGTTTTTTTAAACAATAGAATCCAAATACTTTAGTGGATAACAAGGTGCTTGTAAGATCTCATTTTAATCCATTATCCCCTTTCACATAATCTTTTTTTCACCTCTTACAGCAAACCAAATTTACACCCACAGGATATTTCATTTCTCAAGAAATGCATTCTTTATACACCACCCACATTTCACTGTCTGGGTCTAAAAGTTAATATCCTTAGAAAGGATATACTGATTGTAAGTTCATATTTATGTTTCTGTTCTAATATCTGGTTGCTTGCCTTCACATTATTTTTTTCAATTCTATATTCAGTAATTTTCTGTTACATTGTTTAACCTTATTCCTTAAATTCCAAAAGGACAAATGCCACTGAATGTCATTACATGTAATTACATGCCACTGAATAACAAACCCCAAGGACATACACACTGAAAATTACAGGGAAATAAAATCACTGGATGAAAGGAATCTAAATGAGACAAAAAGGAAATATTACAAATATCCACTGGGTAATACACTGGATCATCAAAGTAATGGGGCACCTGAGTGGCTCAGTTGATTAAACATCTGACTGCAGCTCAGGTCATGATCTCACAGCTTGTGAGTTCAGGCCCCACGTTGGGCTTTGTGCTGACAGCTCAGAGCCTGGAGCCTGCTTCGGATTTTGTGTTTCCCTCTCTCTGCTCCTCCCCAACTTGTGCTGTCTCACTCAAAAATAAATAAACAGGGGCGCCTGGGTGGCGCAGTCGGTTAAGCGTCCGACTTCAGCCAGGTCACGATCTCGCGGTCCGTGAGTTCGAGCCCCGCGTCAGGCTCTGGGCTGATGGCTCAGAGCCTGGAGCCTGTTTCCGATTCTGTGTCTCCCTCTCTCTCTGCTCCTCCCCCGTTCATGCTCTGTCTCTCTCTGTCCCAAAAATAAATAAACGTTGAAAAAAAAAAATTTTTAAAATAAATAAATAAATAAATAAACAAGCATTTAAAAAATAATAATTATGTAAGTATAAGAATAATGTAGTAGTTTTAGTATGTCTCCATGCCTTTTAACCCTCACATTGTACTGTAGTGATTTAGACACACACACACACACAGTGTTTATGAATGTTTTCTAATTGACTCTACTTGCACTGTCTCCATCACTGCTGTTAATTCCCTGCTATGCAGAATGATGATATTCTTCATGTGTCAATAGAAATGAGGAATTTTATTTACTTTTCTTCATTAGCTTTTTCCAAATTTTTTAAATGTTTATCTTAGAGAGAGAGAGAGACAGAGCACGAGCAAGGGAGGGAGGGCAGAGAGAGAAAGAGGGAGACACAGAATCCAAAACAGGCTCTAAGCTCTGCATTGACAGCGCAGAGCCCGACATGGGGCTTAAACTCATAAACCGTGAGATCATGACCCGAGCTGAAGTTGGATGCCTAATAGACTGAGCCACCCAGGTGCCCCTTCATTAGTTTTTTCACTATCACTTATCTATCCTACAGAAATCCTAATCTATATTTAAATGTTTTCCTTCATGCTCTTTCCCAGGTATTCCTTTCCATTTTCCTGTACTCAGAACCAACGATGTTATATTCTGCACGGCAGTATCAGAATATTTTTGATACTATAGTAGGTATATATCATACCATATAAGGCTTATACAATTCTGAAAAGGGGAATAAGCTAACAGAATGATGTGGAAAAGGTGGTACAGGTGGGCAAGAGTGGAAGGCACTTTGTAACAGAGGATCTGTTGGACATTGGCTGGAGACTGGCAATCAGATGAGAGGATAACCTGAGGAAAATCCAAAGTGAATGATAAACATTACATAATACAGGGCGGAAATAATTTTCTGTGACTGAATTATGTTATATGTAACAAAGGTATAATAATACAGTCATTATTGGATTAGGATAGTAAAATCATAAATGAGTGCCAGTATCAGTAAATCAAAAAGCAGTTCTACCTAGAAATGAAACGGTGGGGCACCTGGGTGGCTCAGCCGGTTCAGTGTCTGACTTCATCTCAGGTCACGATCTCACAGTTTGTGAGTTCAAGCCCTGTGTCGGGCTCCATGCTGACAGCTCAGAGCCCACAGCCTGCTTTGGATTCTGTGTTTCCCTCTCTCTCTGCCCCTTCCCTGCTCACGCTCTCTCTCTCTCTAAAATAAAGAAACATTAAAAAATGAAAGAAAGAAAATTCCACCAAATGTGGAAATGTAATTGAAATTAAAAAAATTTTCAGAGAATGATCACATTGAAAATGCAGTTGACCAGTGAAACCAGGGTTAGGGCCCCCGTGCCCTGCACAATCAAAAATCCTCATATAACTTTGAGTCCTCCCAAACTTAACTATTAATAGCCTACTATTGACTGGAAGCCTTTCCAATAACAAATAGCTAACAGATAGTTTATATATTATATGTATTATATTCTGTATTCATAAAGAAAATGTTAAGAAAATCATAAGAGAAAATACATTTACAGTATTCTATTACCTTCATCAAAAAGTTCACACAGAAGTACACCAACATAGTTCAAACCTCTGTTGTTGAAGGGTCAACTATATTACATATTAAAACCTATGGAGGTTGTTAGTCACACAAAAAGTAAGGATTTACCTGCTTTTGACACTAATTAGCTGTATAACCTTGGGATGGCTGCCTGAATACTCTTTGTCTTAGCAAAATAATACAAGTACTATTCATGTCATCAGGTTATTGAGAAATTAAAAGAGCCCATATATTAAAATTCCTTAGAATAGGGCTTGGTACATGGCACGAACTATGTAATCTGACAGGAAAACAAGTAGCTTTCTAAAACATTAAAAGATCCTTGCTATAATATTGACAATGTTAAATGCAAAGTTCTTCAACCACAAAACAGGTATAATATAATGCATATGGCAGGCAATGAACATAAATTCTGTTTATCCATCTAACATATAAATTACACAGATTCTTCTAATAATTGTAATGACTCAGGACATGGTTTCTTAGCTGTTCTTCAAGAAGGTGTGATAACAAAGCATTTATAGCAATTCTGACTTTAATCACAGTATAACAGCTCTCTCAAAGGATATGCTATATGTGTTCTAAAATTCAAAATAAACTCCCTGGGTATCAGGGAAAGTAGGAATATGAAGGGACTGAGAGAATACAAACATGAAGAATGATGGATGTGCTTCATGGAGGTGTCATCTCCAACACAATGTTCAACCCATGCCTTTGGAAACAGAGAAGAGATGTACCCATTTTCTTTCAAAAGATAGTCTTGGGTTTACTGACAAGCAACTCTATGATAGAATAGAGCAGCTGATAGAATAGAGCATATTCTAAATTATATGAAGCAGATAAATTTACCCAGTGAGACCAAGTTGCTATAGTTCTCCATCATCACATCCCAATATAAGTCCCTCTGAGCCGAATCCAGATATTCCCATTCCTCTTGAGAGAAGCTGATGACCACATCCCTGAAAGTCACCAATTCCTGAAACAAAAAACCATATATAAATGAAATATTTTTGAGAAAAAGAATTGCATTATGGTAAGCCGATTAGTAAACTAGTAGGCAAGGGTGGGTAGAATGTTATGGTATGGGAGTAAGGAAATTAGCGCTCCCAAACAGGACTATCTACATATCTTTAAAGAATCTATTTGACTCAGAGAATATCTTCCTGCATATTATGGAATTTCTTAATTCCATAAGCATGTTAAGCATGTCTGGAAATGAGCTGCATGAATTAATAAAGGTGAGTTTCTATATCCTTGTTTCTCTGTAAAGGAAAAGTATCTAACTTAGAAAATGGGATGTGAACACTAATTTATAATTTCTTGCAGCCCTAAGTTCAATACTGTGTTAAGTATTATTTAACATGATATGATCAGAACTTTTGCTTCTAATGACAAACCATTTAATAAGTACTTTTTAGTGGCTACAGAATAGTCTTACTTGGTGAAAAAAATATCAGGCTTAATTGTATTTAGACATTTACAATGGATAAGGTGTTCTTCAATTCTGGGAGTCTACAATCATCTATGTATGATGGAGA